TCTTAAGGTCATACATCTTCCCTCTCTGGGCTGCCCTTCCCATGGCGGTCTTGCACTGGACATGTGAGATGGCCACAAAGGTCGACCAAGTACCACAGCTAAAGCTAAAGGCCAGGTGGGGCTCTGGGTCAGAAGGGAGATCTCTGCCCCCAGCAGCTGGCTAAGTGACACTAAATGTCTCTTTCCTGTCTCCTCAGTTTCCTTAACAAAGGGCTGTTCTCGACTTTGCCTGGAGACAAAGGCCTTGCTGTGAGCAGTGCTGTCTCCTCTCTCCTCCTGGGGAAGAAGGGAGGGGAAACTTGTTGGGATGGAGAAGATGGTTTACCACATACTGCACTGGACCACTTCCAGGCAAGGTCTTGCAGAGTTGGCCCCCGTATGACCTTTGGGTCACTTACTTTCTGGGGACTTGGTAGGAGGAGGGCTAATGGCTTGGGCTTGGCCAGCTTGGTGGCAGTCCGTCTGGCCCAGGAGCAGTGGGGTTCCCAGCTGCCCTACTGGAAAGAAAACAGGCCCTGTAACTTCAGAGAGAGCTCAGGGCTGGCTCCCTGGGGGAGAATGATTCCATTTTCCCAGTTTACTAATTCATCCCACATTGTGCTTTGACTAGAGGCAGAACTAAGGAAAACCTGGCAGGAGGGGGAGGGGGTAGGATGGGGAAGAGAGACCAGATCAGAGGAGCCCAGGCTCTAGAGAAGAAAGGGCCTTGGAAGTCAGTCAGCTCAACCCCCTCCTTTTAGACATGTGAAAACTGAGGCCCAGAAAAGGGTAATGACTTATCCCAGGTCACACAGCATAAATGGCAGAGCTAGGATTCAAACCTGCTTCTGGGTCTGTTTCAACATTGCTTAAAAAAACAGAAGCGGGGGGGGGGGGGCAGCTAGGTGGTGCAGTGGACAGAGCATTGGCCCTGGAGTCAGGAGGACCTGAGTTCAAATCCGACCTCAGACACTTGACACTTACTAGCTGTGTGACCCTGGGCAAGTCACTTAACCCCACTGCCTAGCCAAAAAACAAAACAAAATAAAACAAAAAAACCGGAAGGGGAAGGTAGGGATTGCAGGACCACATGGAAGAATTCTCTCTTCTCCTGACATACTATAGGGTCCCTACTTCATCATGAAGGATGGGGCAGAAGGCCATAGTGGCCACTGGGGACAATAGCTCTACAATTCAACTCATTTCAACACACATTTGTCAGGCCTGCACAGAGTGAAAGGCCAACATACTGGATGTTGGGGGAAATATGAAATTTAGAGAAACCCCAGGCCCTGCCCTCAAGGAGCTTACAGTCCAGCTGGGGCTAAGGCGCCAAGACAGAAAAAAAATCCCCAAGGCTCATCAGCAGAGGCTTGAATACCAGCTGGTATCACGTTGGCCATGGTAACTCCTAAAGCCGATGGAGTCCTAGGTCTTTTTTTTTGAGTCTTGAAGGGAAAAAGTGCATAGGAAAGATGCTTTCAGAGGCCTATTCAAGGTTCAAGGAAGGAAAGATCATTTCTTTGCTGGGAAAATCAAAGAAGGCTTCCTGGAGTAGACTCATACTATCTATATGACCCTGGTCAAGTCTTTAATATCTCAGCGCTCTATAAGACTCTCTACAACCAGCCATGGCAGAGAAGGCGCTGACCTACATTGGTTTCTGAGAGTTCCCTTTGTCAGTGAAATCACTGGTCTAATCCAGATCTTTGATCACATAGGTGGTACAGGAATGATTCAAACAAACCCTGTGACTCCTCTAGGACTCTTCCCACTGTTCCTCATTGCCTCCAAGAATGGGCAGGAATTCAGCCTAGGACTTCAGGGAAAGAGGAGCACTCCTGGGGTGGAGTACAGGCTGAGTAAAGACACAGAGACGGGAAAATCTAGGCCCGGATTGAGTCATGTTAAACAGGCCAAATTCTTTGCCTCTTAGAATGTTCTGGTTCACCGGGTCTTCCAATAACATAGTATTTTATTATCTTAATATGTAATATTGCATGTCTTATATGCCTGCTAAATAGTGAGCTCCATGACAGTGACTATATTACCCAAACCAGTGCCTAGGACACAAAAGGTAGTTCAAATGTTTGTCAAAATGGACTATACAACTTGGCTGGAGCATAGATTATTTGGTGGGGAAGAGGAAGAAATAAAACGGGAAAGGTTGGGTGGCATCCTTTCATGGAGGGGAAGCTTCTCTGAACCCCAGGCTTTACTTCGTAGGCATTTGAGAACTCTCAAAGGTGTGGGGGGCAGAAGAGGATAGCTGTGAGGTAAGGAAGATGCACCTGGACGCATGTCCCAGCCACACAAACAGTAGTAAGAGGAGATGGTCGGGGCAGCAGTTCCATTCTGGAGCTGCTGAACTGACCCAAGTTTTGGCAGCTATAAAATGGTCAGTGAGGTGTGCTATGGAAAGATCTCTGGCTCAAGAATCAAGAAACCCAGGGTTTGAATCCCAGAGATATCACTCAGTGGCTGGGTGACCTCGGGGAAGTCACTTTCCCACTGCAGACTTGGAATTTCCTCCCCTGTGAAACGAAGACTGAACTCATCAAGGCCCAGTTTCTATTCTGCTACACCAACCCCTTTTAAGGGACAATCCAAAATCCTAGGATCATTCTTCCCAATTCCCGTTTCTTTATGTAACAACCATAACGTGAGCTTCCATTTCTCCAGTATTTCATAGGCCATCCAGGCATAAAGTTCAAATTCTTTATCAACATTACAGATAGGGTTTTTTCACATTTTACAAAGTTGAAAGGGGAAGTGATTTGCCCCTCTCCGGCCACCCATGTCAGCAGATATTGGACCTAGGATTTGAATCCAGGCCTTCTGAGCTCAAATCCAGATGTAGATCCATTGAACAAAGATGCCTCAAACCCTGGATGGATGGAGAGAGAACTATCTCAAAAACAGAGCTAAAGCTGAAGGGATTTTAGGGGCTATCTCATCAATCCTTTTATTTTTTAGGCCCCAAGGAGATTCAGTGACTTGACACGGTCACACAACTAACAAGTAGAAAAGGTGGGATTTGAATCCTGAGCCCACTTCTTTCTGAGGTCTCCCCTCCCTGAGGGGCGATGCCTTGAGAGGTCCTAGGATGTCTTCCAGGGGGAGGCTGCTGGAGAAGAGTCTAACTTCAGGGGAAGGGTGGACCAGATGCCCTCTGAGGTGGTGCTGAGAATGTTCAGCTGTGTGGCTATTCTCCTTGCGAAAGCAGGAGCACAACCCCGCCCCCACACCTTACTAGATAACCTTCCTGAATTGTTCTGGCCTAGTGAAGAGTCAATCCCTGCACCTACTTAGGCTATCCTTAGATAACAGGGAGGGAAGAAGGAAACAAGCATTTATTAAGCACCTACTATGTGCCAGGTACTGCGTTAATGCTTTATAATCTCATTTGATCCCCACAACAAGCTTACAAGGTAAGCCTATGATTATTTCCATTCTACAGTTGAAGGAACTGAGGCAAACAAAGGTTAAGTGACTTACCCAGGGTCACACAGCTGATAAATTTGAATTGGATCTTTCTGTCTTCCAGGACCAGCATTCTGTCCACTGCACCACCTAGCTGCCTCAGCAGACTCATGATTCATCACAGGGCCTGAACCCAAAGGTCCTGCCAGGGCACCTAGGTCATCCACCCCCCAATAATGAAGAAATCATTCACTGTTATCTCACTTTGCTGATAGCAGGGAAATACTGCAATGCAGCCAGCAGGGGGAGCTCAAACTGTGTCATTTTGTGGGTGAGCTGGTGGGGAAGGGAAAGGAAGGAAGGCCAGATATCCAGGTAACCGAGGTGGGCCTGACACCCCACCACACACCGCCCCCCCCCATCCTCAGCTTCTGCTTCGGGTGCCCGTACGCAGCCTTCCCTAAAAGGGCAGGCCTGGGCCAGGCTGGCACATAATCCAGAGTCCCACTGAATCACAAGAGTAACTCTGGAAGAAACTTCATAGCAAGGAATGGCAGAGCTGGGGGGGGCCCTTATAGAACCCAGGATGGCAGAGCTGGGAGGGCCCTTAGAACATAGAATGTCAGAGCTGGGAGCGCCCTTAGAGCACAGGATGTCAGAGCTGAGAGGAGCCTTAGAACACAGGATGACAGAGCTGGGAGGACCCTCAGAGCACAGGATGTCACCCTCAGAGCACAGGATGTCAGAGCTGGGAGGGCCCTTAGAACACAGAATGTCACAGCTGGGAGGGGATTTAGAACATGGAATGTCAGAAGTGGGAGAATCCTTAGAACCTGGAATGTCAGAGTTGAAAGGCGCCTTACAGATCATCTAATCCATCGCTCATTTTCTCAATGTGGAAATGGAGGCCTCCCCAGGTGCTGGGTTCTCCTGGTGTTTCTCCTCCCCTGACTCCCAGGCCCCCTTACCACTTGGCTGCCCTCAGACACAGACGCATGTGGCCCTCAGGTAGAAGTCCTTTATTTCAATAACAAAAGTGCCACAATGAAAACTACAGTAGCACAAAAAATAAAAATAAAAATGAACCCCCTTCCCGCAGTCCCCACATCCATCCACACACCTGGTAAGCAGGCTGACAAGCCAGCCAGAGCCCCCCACAGGCCCCCTCCCCAGAAGCCCTGGCCTCTGGCTGCGTGCCCTGAGGGGCTGCTGGGGAGGGGGGTGGTCACTGGCTCCTGGTCTTTCCCTTCCAGTTCTCTTTCTTTGCCTTGCCCCTCCCCCAGCCCCACACAACATGTGGAAACAATCAGGCCCTTCCACATTCCTCTGAAGGATTACCCACCCTCCGATCACTTCCAGCTGGGATACCAGGTTGCCCTTCACCCTGAAACTCCTGAGAACAGAGACAAATGGATGAGGGGAGAAGCAGGGAGGGGAGGAAAGGAGGAGGGGAGGAAGAGGAGAGAAGGGGGGAGGGGAGGAAAGGAGGAGGGGAGGAAGAGGGGAGAAGGGGGGAGGGGAGAAGGGGAAAGGGAGGAAGGGGAAAGGAAAGGAGGAGAAGGGAAAGAAGAGAGGAAAGGGGGGAAGGAAATCAGGGAGAAGGGAAATCCATGGAGAGACAGGAAGAGGAAGGAAAGCAGGGGTGGGAAGGTAAGCACAAGAAGAGAAGGAGGCAGCAGCCACCAAAGGGCACACATCAGATACGATGGCCCGCAGACAGACCGACACGTGCTCTAGGGTTTGGGCCCCAGGCCTACCCTGGGCTGGTCACACTGGCTGGCTGGGCCTTGTTTTTTCAGAAAGGGAGAAGACTTTATTAGAACAGGGTCTGGGTCAGCTAGCTTGGGCTTCTGTCTTAAAAATCCTTCCTGCCTTCTTTCCTCCTCCCCAAAGTTCAGTTGAAATGACCAGGTCCCTGGAGAGTCCTGACCCCTGGGGCCACAGATTTTGCTCAGCTTGGCAGGGTGGCCAGGAGACTGACCACCTGTAGGGAGAGGGGCAGAAGCCCATTCAGCTCAGGGCAGAAGAAACTACTGTTTGACCCAAATTGGGAAATACAACAGATAGTGCAGGCTGTCCTGGGCTCTCCCAAGGGCTCCTGGGCTTTTTGGGGTCTCAGACTTTAGCTGGTTCTAGTTTTGAGCCTCTTGGTTGACCTGGGGTGGGGGCTCAGTGGACTCTCAGGGAATTGGTCCAAATGCAGAGGGAGGGGTGTGGTGTGTGTGAGAGAGAGAGTGTGACTGTGTGTGTGAGTGTGACTCTGTGTGTGTGTGTGTGTGTGTGTGTGTGTGTGTACACACGGGTGGGTGGCCTTGAAAGCCAGTCAGACACTTGGTGGGAATTCTTTGTGGAAAAAAGAGGTTCTCCTTAGGGCAGAGCCCTAGATAAGGCACGAGAGGACCGAAGGCCTGGGCTGAGATGGTACTAAGGTCATGGTGGGTAGGGGGTGAGGGTGGGGAACCAATCCAGCCTTCCTTAGAGGCAGGAACCACAAACCCCAGAGGCCCTACTGGCATGGGGAAGAGGAGTCTAGAGGCCTACAGTGCACAAGAGGTCATTTGGGCCCCACAGATAGCTTAGGGTCAGCCAAGGGCAAAGAGGATAGATGCTAGGATGTTTCAGCTTAAGACATAGTGGCCAAGAGGGGTTTTCTGACCCCCTACTTTCTCTAACAGGATCCTAGGCAGACTGTCAGCACAGCCAGGGGACCCAACTCTAGCTGGGCTTGGTGTGGGGCTGACCAGAGTGATGAATGCTGAAATGGCTGGCACTTGGAAGGGCCGAGGGCAGCAGCCAGCAACGATATGTGTCAGTCACACTACAAAGAGGAAGAAAACAAGGGCAGTGAAGCCTAGGAGGCCCAGGCTCTGAAGCTACACTCATCCCTTTTTTATGGGGCTGGGAGGTTTGTGGTTTTTGCTGGCAAGATGCAGAGGACCTAAGTCATCCCGCTCCCCAGCCTCTCCTCCTACTATAAATTCCCTTTAGAAATGGACCACAGGTGGATGGGATTATCTTCCCTATTCCCATCCCCTTCTGGGAAAGCAGAACCTTGCTGAGGGCTCTCACTGGCTGAGCACAGGGTGGGGGCTTTAGGATTTAGGTGCTAAGGAAAGGGAAGGAGGGACGGTGCCAGAGACTGATTTTGCCATCTTGAATCTCTCCTCCTCATCTCCTACCCTCATCTCTACTTAATGGGACTTCTGGGGAGTCATGGTCTCAGCTCAGCACTACCAGCCCCAGCCTCAACTCAGCAGCCAGTGGAGGGGGCTGGAAGAGAGTTGTCACTGTGGGGCTTCCCTTGTCCACAGGTTATTTAAAAAAACATAATAAATATACCAATCCTTTCTTTAAAAAAAAAAAGTGTTTTAAATGCATTTTTCCCTGAAGGTTTCCAGTGTATTCCACAATGTTCCAAAACGAATTTCCCCAAAATAGAGATTTTTAAAGCACTTAACACTGCGGTGTTTGTGGGTGTATCCGTTGTCATCCAGCACAGGTGGGGCAAGTGACACACAACAAAGCTAATTCCCTGCCCTTGCCCCCAAGCAGCCGGACAGACACACAAACACCTGTCATGGCCATTGCAAGAGTTGACTCACAAGTGATTTGCAATTACAGGGTTTTCACAGTGGATCCAATCTCTGGTTGGCACCAAAAGCCCATGGTTTTGGACCCCTTCCCATGAAGAGCTTTTCGAAGGTGGAGAGGGAGGGTGCTTGGGCAAGGAGGAGGGCCAGGGCAACGCCTTCAATACTGGACAGACGGGGCGAACTATTTCATTCCCTCCCTCTGGCCCTCCCCTCCCCTCCCCCCCAGGGTCTTTGTCCTGCCTGTCCTTCCCATAACTCCCCATCCGTCTCCTTCCACCTGGATTCACCTCTACCAGACTTCACACTTTCGATGGGGGTTCATAGGGGAGCCAGGGGCGCAATGGAAGTGTTCTGAGAACTCCTTGGAGTTGGAGACGGTGCCGATGACCCGGAAGCGAGAGGGGCTGTGGGGATCTGTGATGAGGCCTTCGTGCGAGCTCTCAGGGGTACGGACTGAGCACCAGACCTGCATTGTAGGGAACAAGTGGGAGAGGTCAAGGTGACTGGAGATGTGGACAGAGTCAGGACAGTGTGCCTTCTTTTCCTGCTCTGGAGTTTTAAGAAGAGGAGAGGTGGTATGATATAGTAGCAAGATTGGAGCATCTAGAATTATGGGTCCTGGGTTCAAATCCCAGCTCTGCCTTTTATTAACCAAGTAACGTTGAGTGAGTTGCTTAACTTCTTAGGACCTCAGTTTTCTCATCTGTAAAAAAGGAGGTAATTAAATGAATGTGGCTTGTAAAGTCCTTTTTCTGGGGGCAGGGGCAATGGGGGTTAAGTGACTTGCCCAGGTCACACAGCTAATAAGAGTTATGTGTCTGAGGCCAGATTTAAACTCAGGTCCTCCTGAATCCAGGGCCAGTGCTCTATCCACTGCCCCACCTAGCTGCCCCTGTAAAGTCCTTTTTTAGCTCTAAGATCTAATAATAATTAATAATAATAATAATAATTTATATAACTCTTTAAAGTTTTACAAAGCACTTTAAAAAACCCAGTGGGGTAGGTGCTATTAATATCTTCATTTTACAGATATGGAAACTGAGGTTGGCAGAATTTAAATGACTTGCCTACTGTCATGCAGCTAATGGATGTGTCTGAACCAGGATCTGAATCCAGATCTTATTGGCCTCCCCATTCAATGCTATATCCATTATGCCACACTGCCTTTTTCGAGGGTGGTCCTTCTAGCCCTTGGAAGACTGCCAGGGAGAAGGCAACACAGGAGAAGTGCTTGGTGTGTGGGAGAAGGAAAAGAGGCAGGGATGGGGTCTGCCATCCCCACCTGTCTATATCCTCTTTCTTCTTTGGGACTTCAGACTCCCTACTGCATTCCCAAGTCTTCACTAGACATGGTGGTCTGGGAGAATCAACATTCTCACAGTTTTAGAGCTGGAAGGGACCTTGGAAGTTATGTGATGCAGCCGCTCTCACTGCCTCAGTTCCCTCCTCTGTAAAATGGGGATAATAACGGCCCCTACCTCCCACGGTTGTTGTGAGGGTCAAGGAGATAATAATTGTAAAGCACTTTGCAAACCTTAACTACACAAATGAGGAGGCTGATGCAGAGGGCCATCAAAGACTTCCCAAGGTCATACAAGCAGACTGTGACGGTGGCTCTGGGTTCAGTCCAGTCTGCCTGGGAGTCTGCTCTGGAGTATAATAGCACTTTAATTAAGGTTTGTGAAGGGTTTTGCAAACACTATCTCATCTGATCCTCACTGCCACCCTGAGAGGTGGGTGCTATTTTATTCCCATTTTATAGATGAGGACACTGAGGCAGACAGAGATTGCGTGACTTGTCTCTGGTCGCACAGCTCTGAACTCGGGTCTTCCTGACTCCAAGTTCAGCCCTGTAAGTGCCTTCCACGGTTTCCCACGGCCTCTGCTCTGCTCACTCTCCCTCCACCGGATCTCAAGGGTTGCCCTGATTGTGCTTGGCAGACATATGCTCAAGAAGACAGACCAGAGAACCCACCTGAGCAAACCCAAGGAAGAAGAGTTGGTTGTTGGTGAGGCCCAGGGTTGGCAGAGTCTCCTCCTCCCCATTCTTCTGCACCCAGTTCTGATAGGCCTGTGAAGGGCAGAGAAGAGATCTTAGTGGTCCTGCAGAACAGGGAGCTGAGGCACAGCACTCCGAGGCTGACGGCAGTGACTGGACCCAGAGACTTTGGGGGACCTTGGCCCAGCCTGCCAAGAAGAGGGCTCATTCACAAATTCATTCGGAGGGCCCCCCTACTACTCGCCAAGTGCTGGGTATGCAAAGACAAAAACTGACAACCTCTGCCCACAAGGCGCTTCCATGCAATTAGTAGTTAGTCACTCAACAAACACCAAGTCCTACTGCGTGGTAGGCACAGGGGCAACATCCAAAAATGTCCCTGGCCTCCTGTCTTTTTCTCACACTCCCTATAGCTAAACGGTTATTCCCACCCCACCCCTCACACATGTTCCCTTCTCTCTACTCACACCTTAATTCAGGACTTCTAGACCAGAGGTATCAACACCTCTGGTGGGCTCCAAATGTGGCCCACAACACTCCCACGTGAACCAGATTAAGACGTAATTGGGAAATATTTTACAAAATAAAGTACAATAAAATACAGATAAAAATACATTTTAAAACTAATTATGCATGCGGACCCATGGCCCCTGTTTTTATCTGAGTTTTGATATTGCTGCTCTAGACTTAAAAAAAATTTAGTCTTTGTTATTCTGAGTTTGAAAAATAGCAACAAACGTGAATGTTTCTGTGTACAAAGAAGAACAGAAAAAGAGGACTGTATATGAAACCACGAATTTCTATGTCTAGCTTGTCTCCTTTTAGCAAGATATAAATCCAACATGTTAATTTCAAAGCTGTCCTGCTTATCTGTGTTTCCCTCTGAATGTCCTTCTGTCCTCTTCTTCCTCTTCTTTAAATGATTTTTTCTTCCTTTTGCTCTTTTTCGGGCACTATTACCACCAGCCTTAATAACTCACCCCCCTCCAATTAAAAAAAAAAATCAATTGGGGCAGCTAGGTGGCGCAGTGGATAGAGCACTGGCCCTGGAGTCAGGAGGACCTGAGCTCAAATCTGACCTCAGACACATAACACTCACTAGCTGTGTGACTCTGGGCAAGTCACTTAACCCCAAATGCCTCACCAAAAATAAATAAATAAAAATCAATTCTCTCTTATAACGAATGAGTGAAATCAATCAAAATAAACTCATCCAAAAATGTATGTTTCATTGTATTGGACATTAGAGGCAACAGGGAGGTCCTGAAGGTTCCAAGCAGAGGACAGACCCTGCGAGACCTGTAGCTTAGAAGGATTTTTTTTCCCTTCCTCTTTCTCTCCCACTTTCTTTGCTCTCTCCTTTTCTTCCTACTCTTTCACTCCTTTGCTGCCTCTTCTCCTGGTTATTCATTAGACCTGCCTGAAATCCCCAGGGAAATCTCCTAGCTCTCCGGGGGTCTCTAGCAGTGACTTCTGAGCTGGTCAGGAGGGGGAATGATGAAGGGGTGCTTACTGGGACCCCTGTCTTCTGCTCCCCGGCTTTCCTGCCTTTCTGGAACAACCCAAGGGGGTTCAGAGAAAACGAGAATCCTGCTCCCTCAGGTGTGCAGCTATCAGAGGAGGGGGCCGATGGATGCTCCACTTACTGCTCAGCCTGCAGCAGTTCCCCCAAACCTGTTTATTTGTGCCTTTTTGGAGCTCCCAAGTTCACGCTGCTCACCCTGCCCCTTCTCCAGAACCCTCAGTATCTGCAGTCTTCCAGATTAAAAACTTCCACTGTAGAATCTTCCTCCCTTTCCCCTGTTCCCTTGTGCTCTTGCCCCTCAAATTAGGTCTTCCCTTATGAGAATTAAAATGCATCTACTGCTTTTAGCATCGCTGGCTGGCCTGCCTCCTATTACTGCTCTCAATTTTGTACACTGAGAGGCAGAGGGGCGTGGTAGGTAGAACACAGGTCTTGGGGTCAGGAAGCTCCAGGTTCAAGTTCTGTCTTCAACACAAGGGGCTGTTTGACCTGGGCAAATCACTTGACCTCTCACTGCCCTCTAAGCCTATAAAGTTGCAAGAAAGGAGCTGACCTTAATTAGCAGAAGGAGACTGATAATAATGAAATCATCAAGTCAGTACAAAAACAAAATCTGGTCTGTGCTCCAGTCAAACTGGATTCCTCTGTCCCCCCAAAACACATTCTACGGAATTCTACCCACAAATTCCCTAAGCCAGAAGTGCATCCCCTGCCTGTAACATGCCCTGCTGGATTCCTACCCACTCCTCAAAGCTCAGTTCAAATCCCTCCTCCTCCATGAAGCCCTCCTTGATCTTTCCTGTAGGCAATATACAAGAGTTGATTTTTACATAGCTCTTTCAGACTTTTAAAGCGTTTTACATGTGTTATCTCCCTTAATGTTCAAAACAGCCATGTGAGGTAAGGACTGCAGGTATTATTATCGTGTCTTTTTTTTTAGCTGAAGAAACCAAGGATATTGATTAATTTCATTTTTGCTTATTTCTTCCACCTCTACTTATCTACGTGTATGTAGGATTACAGCTTTAGAGCACGATGAGATCTTCAAAGCCACTGAGTCCACCCCCCTTGAGGAAGAAATTGAGGCAGAGAGGTTAACTGACTTGTCCAGGGTCATAACAGCTAGCAGGTATTGGAGATGGGATTTGAATCCAGGTCTTTCGTTATGACTCCAAGTCTAGTAGTCGGGGGCTATCTCCAGTCATCCTGATCTATATCTGGCCACTGGACCCAGATGGCTTGGGAGGAGAAAGCAAGGCTGGTGACTTTGCACAGCCTCCCTCACTTCAATCCAATTTGCTTGCACGTCATGGCATCATCTCCCTGATGTCATGGTCCTCTTCAAGAAGGAAGGACAAACAACAATAAGTCTAATATTCTATCCACTACAATATATAGACTATACCATGCTGCTTCTGATAGAATGGAAGCCCCCTGAGGGTAGGCAGGGACAGTTCCATTTTTGTCCTCCAAATTTTAGCACTTGGCATGGTGACTGACATGTGGCAGATGCTTAATCAATGCTTGCTGACTGTTTCAGAAAGGCAGAGTGAGTTGCCCATGATCACACAGCTAGTAGATGTCAGAAGCAAGATCTGAACCCAGGTTTCCCTGGCTCCAAGCCCAGTGCTCTCATCACTACACAAAGCTCTCTCTCATAAACTCCCTCATCAAGGCTGACCTGGAACATGGTTCTGTACCTCTTCAATGTATCAATCATCTAATATTGTGTATTACATTTGTCCGTAAGGGTATGTTGTCTATCCCTCCGCTGTGTGAGGGCAGGGACCATACCTGTATTTGTATCCCCAATGTCCAGCCTGTCCCATAGTAGGCAGTTAATAAATATATATTGATTTGAAATATTTAAGAACTCTGAATAAGCTATGACCAATCATGATTAGAGAGGATCCATGATGAAGCTCCCCGAGTTGATGGACTCAGGATGTAGCAAGCAACATACAATTTTGGACATGGCCAACATGAGAATTTGTTTTGTTTGATTATGCCATTACCAAAGGGATATTTTTTTCTCTCTCCTACCCCCCCAAAATGGGAGGGGATGAAGGTGGAAGGGAAAGAAAATATAGTTGTTAATTGAAAAAAAAAATTAAGTTAAAGCTCCCACCCCCAAATAAATTAACTGAATGACTGATTTTCCTTAGCCCTAGCACAAGGAAGGCACCTAGTTATGTTTGCTGGGTGAATATCTTATCCCTCCCAGTAGATTTCGCAAAAAGGCAGAAGCTGCCATGTCCCAAAGAAATAAAAGAAAAAGGATCCATGAAAATATTTATAGCAGCTCTTTTGGTGGTGGCAAAGAATCAGAAACTGGGAGTGCCCACTAAGTTAAGAATAGCTAAATGAGTTGTGGTATATGGATGTGATGGAACTCTATTGGGTTGTAAGAAATGATGAAGGGGACAGTTTCAGAACCTGGGATGAACTGGTACAAGGTGAAGTGAGCAGAACCAGGATATACAGATATATAGATATCTATCTATACACTATATAGATACTATATATACAGTATAGATATACATAGAGTTTTATAGTAACAGCAATGTTGCAAAGATAATTAACTGTGAAAGACATAGGAACTATGCTCCACAAAATGACCAACCATAATTCTAGAGGATCAATGATGAAGAATGTTACTCACCTCCTTGACAGAGAGATGATAGATTCACTATGTAGAATGAGACATATATTTCTGGGACATGGACAGTGTGGGAATTTGTTTTGCTTGGCTATGCATAATTATTACAAGGATTTTTTTCTTTTTTTTGTTTTTGTTTTTTGTTCTGTTCTAATGGTGGGGAGGAAGGAGAGGGAAAGAAAATAAATTTTTGTTAATTGAAAACAACTAAATTAAAAACAAATAACTCCTACCCCCAATTTTAATTTGTACCTACTTTAGTACCAGGTATAGTGCTTGGGACATAATAGATGCTTAATAAATGTTTGTTCAGTGAGGGACACCATCCCAGAAAAATACGTCTGGTCTCTCCTTGTTTCAGAGGAAAAAAAAAAACCCAAACCACTGCTAAACCTCCGCTCAGCTCTTACCCTATAGGCGGCCTTGAGACCCCCATTGTCAGCGATGTTCTCTCCCAGGGTGTGGCGGCCATTCACTGCCTCTCCGTTGACTGTATAGTTGCTGTACTGCTCCACCATGCACTCAGTCTGCTGCTTGAATGCCTCCACTGAGGAGTTCTTCCACCAGGGCCGAAGATTGCCATCTTTGTCATACTCTCGACCTAGGGTCAGAGAGAGGAGGCTTGAGAGGAGGAACCCATCCTGGGCCAGGGATCTTGCCTCTTCCTCTCCCCTCTTGTCAGCAGAAAGAACCTGTGTGCTTGAAGCATATGGTATCTAGGGCACCATACAATTGTAGCTATGGTACCATATGGTACTATAATGCTACTAGACTATATGCCCCATGAGGACAGGGTTTTGTCTTATCTAAGCTTTGAGTCTTCTTTTAAGAAAAATATTATTAATAATAGCTAACATGTATATAGCACTTAGGGTTTGAAAAGCATGTTATTACATATATTATTTGATCCTCACAACAATCCTGTGATGTGGGTGTTTTATCCCTATTTTACAAATGAGGAAAAGGAGACAGAGAGATTAAAGGGTTTTCCAAGGGTCACACTGCTAATAAGTTCTGCACATAGAAGGTGGCTGATAAATGTTAACTGAATTATTGGTTTCCCCGGGGTGGCTGGGATGTCTCCTGAGGAACAGAGGGTCATGTCCTCATCATTAATCAATGTGGCTCCATCGGCACCGAGTACCTGAGATGCACCATAGGTCTTTGGCCCATAAATAGCCTTCATAGGGGACATAGAAGCTCTTTGGATTGTTACCATTAAGATAAAACTGAATCTCTTCTGCCTTCTTACTGAGCCAAGAATCCTGCATTTCTCCGAGCTTCATTTGCACTTTACTCTTGATGGAGTTAAACACTGCCTTCTCAGAGATGGACAGACTATCCTGCTGGTAAACCCTGCAGAGTTCTTGTTTTTCATTTAGCAGCTTCTGAATTTCCCCATCATTTTCATCAAACCAAACCTGATGTTTGCAAGTGTTCTGGCCCAGATGAGTAAATGCTGTGCTGTACACCAAATCTCTGAAAGCTGCCCACTCCTTTTCTGCTCCACTGTTGCCAACCATGTATTGGCTCAGCTTTCCCTCCAAGTTAGCAATGAACTCTTCCCGCTTGGAGAAGCACCTTAATCTGTTGACATTAAGTCTTCTGGTAGTTGGTAGTTGTCATGCTTTGGGTATACTGCTTTTGTTGAATGCGAGTATTTATCTTGGAGAGGATAAGTCTACGATTGGTCCAGCACTCTGCACCACACATCACCTTCATCACTCTCTTGTTTCTTCTTCTTATAATGACATAGTCTAATGTTTGCTGTGAGGGTGCATCCATGAAATTTTATTGCGTTTAGGTAAAGAGAAGACAGTACTGATTGATTCTTTTTTTTCTTTTTGGTGAGGCAATCGGGGTTAAGTGACTCACCCAGGGTCAACACAGATAGTTAAGTGTCAAGTATATGAAGCCAGATTTGAACTCAGGTCCTATTGACTCCAAGGCAGAGCTCTATCCATTGCACCACTGAGCTGCCCTGAGAAAACAGTATTAATGAAGAGAAGATCATAAGATGTACAAGTCTTCAGTAGTAAGTAACTAGTGATGTTTCTGACTGCATGTCTCTCAAGCACTCCCTGCCATGCCTGGTAGTCTGTGTCTACTCTGGCATTCAAGTCACCCAGAATTATAAGCTTGTCCTCTTTTGGCACACTGATGATGAAGGTCTCCAGGTCTTCATAAATTTTTTCTTTGACCTCATCAGGGTTTCTCATGGTGTGAGCAGATGCACCGATGATGATGGAGTGGCGTTTTCCTGCAAGTGGCAATTGCGTTGACATGAGTCTGTTATTCACTCCTTTCGGAAGGCATATGAGCTTGTCAACTAGATTAGTTGTGATTGTGAAACTTATGCCACCTTCAAGGTGCTCCTCATCACTGCATTCACTCCAGAAAACACATGTATCTAGTGCCAGCTTCAGTAAGCTGGCCTTCATCTACCAGGCTTGTTTCACTCAGGGCTGCTATTTAGATGTGATACCTGCTGAGTTCTCTCACAAGAGCTGTTTGTCTTCCAGGTCTACTGGATTTCACATTGTCCATAAGCATGCACACATTACATGTACTGATAGTGGAATCATCTTTGCAAAAGTTTTTGTACATTTTTTGTGTTTTGATCACAAGGTGGGATCCCCACCTGCCATGGTAATCAGACTAGGGTTGGGTGAAGCAATTTTAGGGCACCTTTAGGGCACCTCCTCACGCCAGGAGGTGAGCTGTGAAGTCCTTCAAAATGGCAGCTCAGACACCCAGGAGGCTGTTGAATCCCACTGCTGCTTCAGTCCAGTGAGAAGACAACATTATAGCCTGGGACGCCTGCATACAGGATTATGACTACAGATCCCAGTGTATCCACACCTGCTACTTTGTCACTTGCCTGTAGCCACAGGCCTTTGAGGTAGGTAAAAATGGCAAAATGATATGGGTGATGCCTTTTGATTTGCACATAAACTGAATTTAAGTGAGGCAGAGTTGCATAAAGTTATTGGCCTCACTCCCTCTTCCAGTCATTGAAGACCAGTGGCAAGACGAAAGTTGAAATGACTGGTGATGGCTTGGGATGCAGTGGATGACCTTGGCATCTTCGATATCTAACCAAATTCTAAGTGCTCCATAGTGCCCGCTTCAGCTGCCTTCATGGACACTGGAACAAACGGGAGTCTTCAGGCTTGGAGTAGACACCCTCCCAAGTCACACAAGAGCTTGAGAGCCTTTGGTTACTTTCAACCTGGTTTAGTCTGTCTGCCAAAACGGTTTACCAAGGTGTGGCCTCTGTACGGCATACAGCTTCTTGGAGCCACAGGTGAGATCCACTGAATCAGGTGGACCCCAAAGGTGGATGAGGGCTAGTCTTCCCTGAACACATCCTATACCCTAGTAAGCAAGGAATGTTATGAACAATAAAAAGGGGTGTTTTTAAGCTAATGGATATAAAGTTTGTCTCAAACCCTGAAGCCCTATATAAATGTCAGAAGTTCTGTTATTATTACTACCAACAAACTAGATCAGTGAAAAGAGCAGGATCGAAGAACGACCTCGCTTCCTCTTGGGAGTTCATGGGATAAGGATGCTCTGCAGAGGATGGAAAGCTTTGGAATGAGAATCGATGAACAAAGATGGCTACATGAGAACCGAAATTCAAGATAAGTAGGGAGATAATAACATTTGGCTGCCCTCGATGAATTCAATTCAACAGGACCAGGCAAAATAATGGAAGCCTCCATCCTCAGGCTGGTTGTAAGTACTTGCAGACGTTATTGTACAATGATCAACTGTGGGCGACTTACCTATTCTCCTCAGCAATACAATGATATAAGACACTTCTGAAGGACTTAGGATGAAAAATGCTATCTACATCAGAGAAAGAACTGATGGAGTCTAAATGCAGATGGAGGCGTACTTTTTTACACTTTCTTTTTTTTGTTTTTTTCTCTTTTTTTTTTGGTCTGTGTTCTAATATGTGGCTAATATGGAAATATGTTTTGCATGACTGCACACATATAATCTCTATCAAAGTGCTTGCCTTCTCAAGGAGGGAGCAGGGGAGGGACAGAGGGAATTTTGAATTCAAAAATTGTTTTAAAAAGCATGTTAAAAATTATTTTTACATGTAATTGAGAAAAAAATAAAAACATTCTTCAAAAAAAGAAAGAAGAACTTGCAGATGTGATGGTTTAACCACTGTTAACCATTGCTGAAAGACTGTGGAGGAGAGAAGCACCAGAGAACTGGAGAAAGGCTGATGTTTTAATTTTCAAAAAGGGAGGAGGGAAGTGTCTGAGAACTGTGGGCCAGTGAGCGTGACTTTTATTTCTGGCAAAATTCTGGGATGGCCTATTTAAGGGATGGCCAGTGAACACCTGAAAAGAGAAGATGTGGCTACAAAGACCCAGCATGGCTTCATAAAGAACAGGTCATGCCAGATTAACTTTATTTCCTTTTTTGACAGGGTTACTAGACTGGCGGATCCAGGGAATGCTGTCAGTCTAGTTCAGCTAGATTTTAGTGAAGCCTTTTGCAAACTTTCTCAGGCTGATTGTGTGGACCAGTCAGAAAGCTTGATTTGCTAGACAATAAAGCAGTTGGGTAGGTTCCATCTGGTTCAATGGCAAGAACCAAAGAGTTAATGCTTCAGTGCCAACTTGGGAAGAGACCTCCAGTGAAGTGACTTAGGAATTTGTGTTTGGCCCTGTCATAGCTGTTTGAGGTTTTTATCCATGATCTGGATAGAGGGAAAGATGGCAGGCTTATGCAATCTATGGACAACATAAAGCTGGGAGAGACTGCTGTGGGATGGTGGGGTCAGGATTCAAAATGATTTTGTGACAGGTTAAAAGAGAGGCCTGAATAGAGGGAACTTAATGTGGATAAATGTCAAGTCTTATATCTAGGTTCAAAAAATTAGCTTCACAAATACAAGACGGGGGAGGTGTGACTGAGGAGCAGTTTTGTTACTATTGTGCTAAATTTAACACAGGCTTAAAAAAAAAACCCTCTGTAGGTAACAGAAGTTTGGATTTTGATACACAATTCTGATTTCCCATCTTCTTTGTACAGAGGGTGCCAAAAGTCTTAGTGCAGTTTTAAGCTTTCACAACTTAAATACAAACACGGGAATACCAATGTTTGTCAAGTTCATAATAAAAATGAAAATGGGAGGGGGACAGATCTACAAGCCTACTTTGAATCTGAGTCAGCTGTGGAACACAGGAACTAAGAAGGCTAACGTGATCTCGGGCCACTTTGAGAGGCAGAGTGTTTAGGACCATGGAGGTGATAATCCCCCTGTACTATGCCCTGGTCAGATCACATCTGGAGTACTCCAGCCAGTTCTGAGGGTCATAATTTGGAAACGACGCTGGTAGGTTGGAGAAGGCCCAGAAGAGGATAACTAAGATGATGATGGGCCTTGAGTAAATTGAAGGAATGAGGCCTGGGGAAATGAAGGAACTGGTTATGTGTGGCCTGGAGAACAGAAGATTTAGTAGGAACAGGATAGCTGGCTTCCAGGGCTATTTGAAGGGCTGTGCAATGGAAGAAAGATGAGACCCGGCTTGGCTCCAGAGCACTGAACCAGCAGCAATGGCTGGGAATTGCAGCGAGGCAGATTTTGGCCTGATGTAAGCAATTAAAGCTTTCTAAAAGCAGGCGAGGCTGCCTCTGGAGGCCTCTGGTTTCCCCTCATTCCCCCAAGTCTTTAAGCAAAGGCTGGATGAGCAAGAGCAAAGTATTTTCTAGAAGGGATCCATATTCAGGTATGGGTTGGACTAGATGTCCTCTGAGGGCCCTTCTGACTTGGAGGGGCTACAATTGTGCGACTGTGCCTTATTGGAACTCTCTCAGTGCCTACCGCAGGGCTTTGCACACAAAAGGTGCTTAATAAGTATTTGCTGAAACAATGTGATTATTATTATGGTTAATTTTATACAACATTTTAATATGCTTATTATATCTTATAACATAATTATTTATTATAATGACTATATTAGAATTATTAAAATCAATGACTATATCAATTGAATATAGATTATTATCAATTTAACAAGAATAATAATTTTGATCTTTATTTTAAGATTGTGTATCCCTTATGTTGCCCAGGCTAGAAGTGCAGGGGCTAATTACTGGCTTGATCCAACTGCTGATCAGTGTGAGTGCTGCGACCTCAGTCCTCTTTAGGTGACGTGATGGCTCCTTCTGCCTGGGAGTCGCCATATTGGTGCTGGGCTTAGTGAGGACCGGTGGTTGGCGGTAAGCTCAGAACTCCCGACCTCAAGCGATCCACCAGCCTCAGTCTCTTCAGTAGCAATGAGTGTAGGCAAGCCCCACTGTGCTTGTGTGTGATTATCACTAGTGAGCTCATTTCACAGATGAGGAAACTGATTCCCAGAGAGGGAATGCCACTTGTCTCAGGGTCACATCATTAGTATTAGAGGCAGGTTTTGAACTCCTGATTTCTTTGTATTGTATCAGCAGCACCATGTGTTTTACTATGTGTGTGCTACTTTACATAGGCTGGTGAAAGTATATGGTGGGCTGGGAAGTTTGGGGGCTTATTTTCAAGGCTTGGTTAAGGTGTCTCTGATTCTGGGCCCCTTACGTCTGGGTAACAGCAAACTCAGACATCAAGATTGGTCTCTGGGAATTAGGGTTTGCTTGGAAGCAAAACCTCATCCCTTCCCTGCATCCAAGGGCAGGCACGCTGGGTCTTGGAAACTTCAGAACAGAGATAGGCAAGAAGATGGGGGAACTCAGACAGGAGAAGGCCCCTGGGACTAACTTACCTTGATCATCAAAGGCGTGAGTCAGCTCATGACCCACAACAACCCCGATTCCACCAAAATTCAGTGACCTGCAGAGCAAGGAAAGAGTTGTTACGCGGTCCCCCAAACTGCTAGTACCCACCCCACTAACATTACCTTGTATCTCTGCTGTAACTGTATGGTCCCTATTTAGATACATTTTATCTCTATTCATTCCCACTCTCATCAGAATGTAAGTTCCTTGTGGGCAGGACTTGTTTTTGCTTTTTTTTTCTTTGTATCTGCATTATTTAGTTTAGCCCAGTGCCTAAGTTAAAAGAAGGGCTTTCTGACTGATTGACTGAAGGGAAGGAGGGGACAGAAAAAGCTGAAATGGCAACAATATGGTCTGGAGGCCTCATACTTGGGTGATGTGCGGGTGTAGAACGGAGCCTGCAAGATTCCAGCTGGAAACACGATCTCGTTCTTGGTGGGTGAGTAGTAGGCGTTCACGGTGGGAGGAGTCATGCTCCACCTGCATGAAACACAAGAATTAAAGTGGCAGAGGTCATTGGTGGGGGAAGCCAAGGATCACTCTACTGTTCTGATGCACAGTTTGGGTCTCCATCACTCACTTTCCTATTATCTTTCCCCCAAACCTTCCCCTTCTCCTACCTTCCCTATTACTGTAGCAGGTACCATCATCTTCCCAGTCTTTCAGGCTCACAACCTAAATGTCATCCTAGATTTCTCCCTAACTCTCACCCTCTACATCCAATATGTTATCAAGACCTGTCAATCTCACCTTTGCAACATCTCTTCTATATGTCTCCTCTCCTCTGACACTGCCCCCACCCTGGTGCAGAGATCCTCATCATCTTCCCACCTTCCCAACAACCTGCTGGTGGGTCTGCTTGCCTCAAGTTTCTCCCCATTTCAATCCATTCTCCATTTGGCCACTAAAGTGAATTTTCCAAAGCTCAGTTCTTGTCAAATCCCCACCCAAACTCAATAAAATCCAGTGGCTCCCTATCACCTACAGGATCAAATGCAAAATGCTCTGTTGGGCATTCAAAGCCCTTCCTAACCTCATCCCCTCCCACCTTTCCAGTCTTCTTACACCTTACTTCTCACCATGTATTCTTTGATTCAGTGACACTGGCCTTCTGGCTGGTCCACAAATAAGATCCTCCATCACTCTCCCCTGGTCATTTTCTTTATCTGTCCCCCAACCGTGGAATGTTCTCCCTCTCAGTTCTAACTACTGACCTCCTTGGCTTACTTTAAGGTCCAATAAAATCCCAACTTGTGCAGGAAGCCCTTCCCACCCCCTCTTAATTCTAGTGTCCTTCCTCTGTTAGTTATTTGCCACTTATCCTGTTGTATGGCTTGTTTGTACATATTTGAATTTGTTTATCTTTTTTTTTTTGGTCTCCCCCATTAGATTGTGAGCTCTTTGAAGGCAGGAACTATCTTTTGTCTTTTTTTTTTGTATCCCCAGTGCAAAGCACAGAGCCTGATACATAGTACGGGCACCTAATAAATGTTTATTGATTGATTGGTGTAAAGTGCATAACAAACCTTAAAGTACTAAGTAAATGCTACTGTCATTGTTTATTATTCAACACTACTTTTTTGGACACTAACCTTGCAATGTAAATACAGTGAATACAATTAGCCCCTTTTGTGTGAGATCACAGGATTTACAGCTGTAATGGCTCTTAGAAATCACCAGGCTATATTCCTTATTTTACAGGAAAATTTACTTGTCCAAGGTGACACAAGTAGTAAGTTTCAGAGCCAGAATTTGAACTCAGGCCTCTGACCTCCAAATCTAGGGCTCTTCTCCCTATACTACCTTGCCTCTTTCTTTTTTACAGAAAAGGAAACTGAGCCTTTGGCAGATGACTTGCCTAGGGTCACACAGCTTTTACAGTGGTAAAGCCAGGGTTAAACTCTGGTTTTCTGACTCCAGGTTCAGTGTTCATTCCCTTATATCTTATGGCTTCACATACTACCTGTGATATCCATGTAGTGCTTATCAGATGCACTCCTGTTCGATGAGCATTTATTAAGCACTGACTCTATACTAAGGACTGGAGATACAAAGGCAAAAACAAAACTATCTGTCCTCAATAAGGTTATATTCTACTGGGTAACACAACATGTACTCAGATGGAAAACAGAGTAGAGAGAAAACACTCAGGTTTCATATGATTATAGGCTTTAGAGCTGGAGAGATGTTGGGGGTCATCTAGCTCAACCTCTTCATTTTACAGATGGGGAAACTGAGTCCTGGAAGGTTAAGAGATTTGCTCAAGTTTGAGTGGCAGAGAGATGATTATGCTTCAAGCACTTTCCTTTCCCAATGGGGTCTTATGGTTACAGCTCCTATGCCTCCCCTATGGGCCCACAAGGAGGATGGAGGGGGTCCAAAGAACTTACTGATCCCTGTTGGGAGCTTTTCTGAGCTGGTCTGCGGTGACTCTGGATGAGAAGTTGAAAAACCTCATGGCATTCTCAAAGTAAAGATCTGGTACGGCATTGTACTGGAAAAGAGAGGGAAGATTTCTGGGACACTCTCAGCAACTTAGAGCACAGTCTCCCATGTCACTGGGCACATTCCCTTTCAGTCAGTCACCAAGCATTTCTTAAGCATGTGCCAGGCACATGTCAAGAGCTGGGGATACAAAGAAAGGCAAAAATAACCCCTGCCCTCAAGGAGCTCACATTCTTACGGGAGAGACAACATGTACAAGATTTTTACAGAATGGAAGATAGATAGATAGATAGATAGATAGATAGACAGACAGACAGATAAATAGATAAGTAAATAAACAAACAAATAGATGAGGGGGAGGTGCTAACAGTGCCAAAGACCAGGAAGGGTCACTTGTGGAGGATGGGATTTGAGCTGAATCTTAAGGGAAGCCAGAAAGTGGAGATGAGGAAGGAGAACATATCAGGAATTGGAGATAATTTAAGGCAGGCATTCCCAGGTCTTATATGCCACAGCCCAGGTTATCTTGAAATATTCTAAAGGAAAAGGTTTCCAAATTATGCTCAAATGATAGAATGAATTATAGCAAATAAATAGTTTGTGAACACTTAAAAAAGAATGAGATGAGCACTAGGAACAAGCTTAGGTTCACTGAGAACAAGTCACACCAGACAAAACTCATTTTCCCTTTCTGATCGGGTTACGAGACAGGAAGAGTGAGGAGAAATCATGCACAACATAATAAACTCGGGTGTTGGTAAGGCATTTGGCATTTGACTTAACTTAAAAACAGCATAATGTTTTTAGGAAGCATGATCACAAAATCAAACCAATAATAGATTACTGTAAGTCATCACAGATTTTAAGGGATAGGTGAAATACAAATATTTCTTCTAAGGAAATATTTCAGTTTAAGGTTCAGTTTAAAGGAGAGATTTACCAGATGTTCCGACTACGGTTTGTGATCAACATAAAATCTATATCAGATATCCCCTGGTTCCTCAAATTCAAAGGACACTGTGGTTTAGAAGCTGGACCTATTTAACTCTGTCCCTTTAAAATTTCAAGTTCAAGTCCCACTTTCAAGTTCTGAGAGGCTGGAAGGGGAGATTTTTCTGGGAACCAAAGAGTACTGGAACAAGGAATGGTTCGGTCCCGGGCATCTTTGGAGCCATGTTCTTGACATTCCAATAATGCCCCATGGGGACCGCGTCCCTGCTTCTTCCAACACCCCAAACTTCCAAGGAATTCTGATCGCTTAGAATGAAGTCATGGGGAATTCATTTGGCTAATAGTTCTAGGGAGACATTCAAGATTAATAGAGCTGAGAATTGAGATGCTAAATCAGAACGAGCCTCAGAGGTCATCTCATCTATTGGGTCCCTGAACAGAAAATCCCTCTGCAATATCCCCACCAAGTCATCCAGACTCCACATGGAGACTTCGAGCAAGCAATAGGCTGCCATCTCTCTGAATGGCCTTGGGCCTGCTCAGTCCTCAAATACCAAAGCAGGTTGATTCATCTAGAAATGACTATGCCTCAGCCCAAACCCCCCTCCCCCCCCAGTGCCCCTTCAATGATCAAGGTCCTCCTTATTCTTTAGAGCACAACTCAATTGTCACCTCTCCCAGGAATCTTCCTCTGAGGCCCCATTGGTAATGATCTTCCACTTTGGACCTCATAGACCATTGTGCTCTGTGAGGTTTTCAGCTCTCTGGTGCACACATTTAATGCTGTGTATTAGAGCTGCCTCCTCTAGTGTAATGTGAGCTCCATGAAGGCAGGGACAATGACTTCTATAAACTGTCTCTTCTAGTGCCTGGCATAATATTCTACATTAATAAACGAATGTTGAATTGTATGGCCCCAAATTTGAATAGCTCCTGAATGTACAGCCTTTGGGTACAATCCTGACTCTACCTCCTAAGTCTGCCCTGGGAGAGGTAGCCCCAAAAGGGATTCCACAGCACAAAAGAAAGTTTCCAACACAGTGAAGAACCAACCATGAAGCCAACTCACATCATTGAAGACCTTGTCCAACTCCTTGGGATCCATGATGAAGTTGGGGTAACCAATCATATTGTAGATTGCATCCGCCTGGTTTGGGAGGCAAACAATGGGACATGTTCAGCGCTGACGGTGCTCAGCAAGAGACACCTTGGTGGAGGGCAGCTGTTCTCAAAACATGGTCCAGAAAACTCGTTAAGGGGTCTGTGAAGTCAAAACTATTTTCCAAATGATGCTAAGACTTCTAATTTCTAATATGGTAACTACTGATAAATATAACCCACATAAACAAAAGCTCTTTGTGGGACAGTCCTCAACAATTTTTAAGAATGTGAAGGGGTCTTGAGACCAAAATGTTTGAAAACTGCTGTTTTAGTCTACAGAACAATGGGACTGAGATCAGAGAAACTGGGTTCAAATTGTAACCCTGACACTGAAGAGCCAAACAAACTATTGTATGTAATAATGGAATGTAATGGAATATTGGTGTGCCACAAGAAATGTCAAAAAGAAGGGGCAGCTAGGTGATGCAATGGATAGAGCTCTGGCCTTGGAGTCAGGAGGACCTGAGTTCAAATCCAGCCTCAGACACTTGACACTTACTAGCTGTGTGACCCTGGGCCAGTCACTTAGCCCCTCACAAAAAAAAAAAAAAGGGACAGATTCAGAGAAGTTCAGGAGGACTCATATGAACTGGTGCAAAGAGAAGCGAGCATCACCAGGAGAACAATTTATACAGTGACTAAAATGTCGTAAAGGAAAACAACTCGGACTTAGCAAGTCCGATCAACGCAATGACCTATCACAACTCCACGGAACCGATGATGGTGCAAGATACCCACCTCCTGACAGAGACAGCATGAAGGAGACATCCATTTCATACAAGACCAGTTTGGGTATTTGTTTTGCTTGATATTGCATATTTTTTACAAGGGAGAACCTTTATTTTTTGATGAGGGAAATGGTTCTGGGGGAGGTAGAAGGGGCGGTGACAGAGATTCAAAACATGAAGAAAGAAGAGTGTTCGTGAAACATTTAAAAATACACAGAAGGGGGCAGTTTGGTGGCGCAGTGGATAGAGCTCCAGCTTTGGAGTCAGGAAGACCTGAGTTCAAATCCAGCTTCAGACACTTGATACTTACTAGCTGTGTGACCCTGGGTGAGTCACTTAACCCCACTGCTTAGCCAAAAACAATAATAATAAGAATAATAAGAATAATAATGAAAATACACAGAAGAAAGTAAAAGAGAGTTCAGAAGGGCTCACAAACAGAGCCGGCTTTTAAACCATGTTTAATTTAATATGTATTTCTTAAAAAGCTGAATCTAATAGAGACTTTAGAATTTCATATACAATCTTCTTTTTCTGTTTTTTTTTTCTATATGGAAATGTTTCTTTTTGTCAAGTTTGTAATAATTTTTAAAAGGAGAGGAAGGGAAAGTTTCTAAGAGCTTCTGCCTTCAGGAGGTCTAAGGTGAGATAAATAGCCTCAAGGCCTAACAGAGGAAATAGACACAGGTTCTCTGAAAACATGAGTCAGTTTACTGAGTGCTCATTAGGTTCCATCAGTGGCTAAGAATGTGGTGAGAATGAGGACAAGGTCGAGGATTAGGTAGTTCCTACACAGGCCAATTAGCTCTGTCCAGAGAAAATGCTACTTTATATGTGTCACAGACTATACCCTTCCCCCACTCTTGGCTACATCACAGGGAGTATGGACAGAGAGTGACTAGCCCAGCACAACTGACCTCCAGTCCTGGAAAAACAACTACAATCACTGGGAGACTGTGGGAAAAGCCATGGATTAGGGATAGAGGACCTGGGTTCAAATCCTGACTCTTCCACTGACTATCTGTGTGTACCTGCAACTCACTTTGCTTCCTAGGCCTGTTTCCTCATCTATAAAATGAAGGGTTTGAATTTAATAACCAACCTAAGGTCTCTTGTAGAGGGCAGCTATGGGGTGCCATAGTGCACAGAGCACCAAGCCTGGAGTCAGGAAGACTCCTCTTCCTGAACTCAAATCCAGCCTCAGACACTTCCTGGCTATGCGGCCCAGGGCAGGTCACTTCACCCTGTTTGCCTCAGTTTCTTCATCTATAAAATGGACTGGAGAAGGAAATGACAAACCACTCCAGCATCTCTGCCAAGAAAACCCCAAATGGGGTCATGAAGAGTCAGACACAAATGAACACAAATGAACAACAACAACAAAGATCTCTTCTAGCTCTACTAGAGCTACTACTACTAGTACTACTACTGCTACTACTACTCCTATTACTACTACTACTACTACTACTACTAGTACTACTACTACTACTACTAGTACTACTACTACTATTACTAGTACTACTACTACTACTATTACTACTACTACTACTACTACTAGCATTTACATAGGGCTTTAAGATGTACAAAAGTGCTTTACGCATGTCATATCACTTTATCCTCATGACAACCCTGGGAATTAGGTGCTAGCTATTGTTATTCCCATTTTATAGATGAGGTAACTGAGGCAAACAAAAGTTAAGCGACTTGTCTAGAATCACACAGCTGGTAAGCGTCTGAGGCAGGATCTGAACTCTCGTCTTCATGACCCCAGACTCAGTGCTTAATCCACTTCACCACCTAGATGCCTACAGGTTAGATGAGGCTTTTGAGGCATGAATTACCTTCTCCTTGGCTGATTTCCGTGTGTCCTCATCCATCCACTGCAGGGTGCTCAGGCTTTCTTCAAATGCTCTCTTGATCTCCAAGATCATTTCACTGGCCTGAGGAACATAGACAGGTATTAACGGAGGCCTGCACAGCCGCCACAATGGGAGGAAAGACTTTCTGTAAGCAGGGAGGTTAACCTCTGGGCATAGTCTTAACCTTTGCAAAGAGGCTCTGCCTCCAAAAAGCTATGACCTTGAGCAAGTCAATCCTTGAGACTCAGTTTCCTCCTTTGTAAAATGAGGAAGCCATATACTTGGGTTCTTAATCCAGGGTCTCTGAACTTGCTTTTTCAAATTATTTTTTTATTTTTATTTTTATTATTATCTTATTTTATTTTTATTATTATTATTATTTTTTTTTTGGCAAGGCAGTGGGGTTAAGTGACTTGCTCAGGGTCACACAGCTAGTAAATGTCATGTGTCTGAGGCTGCATTTGAACTAAGGTCCTCCTGACTCTACTGTGCCACCTACCTGCCCCATGTGAACCTGCTTTTAAAAAAGTATTTTGATAACTATTTCAATGTAATTGGTTTCCTTTGTCATCCTACATGACAAAGGAATCCTATGTGTCATCTTTTAATTTATGCATTTAAAAGCATTTCTGAGAAGGGGTCTGTAGGCTATACCAGCCTGAGTGCCAAGGGTCCAGGACACAAGAACACTAAAGACCCTCTGGTACAGATGATCTCTAAGGTTCCTTTCAGCTCTAACATTTTCTGTTCTCAGGCACCTTCCAGATCTGATTCTGCATTCTGAAATCCTTCCTATCTCTGATGACCGTATGTTCTAAGGTCCCTCCCATCCCTAGCAATCTATGATCTCAAATCCCCTCCTCTGCTGTAAATTGGCTTCAATTCAGAACTTAATAGAATTCAATTCAATTCACTCCAGTATGTATTTATCAAGTGCCTATTATTTGCCATGCTCTGTACTAGGTGCTAGGGACATAAGGACAGAAAAAGAAGTTATAATTCTACCCTCTCTGAATTCTTTAACATTCCATGTTCTCAGGCTTCCTCTATTTCTGACATGTGTGTCCTAAGGTACTTCCCAGCTCTGAATTTCTATGTCCTCAGAGCCCTCCCAGGTCTGGACTTCTCTGTTTTAAACCCTCTTCTCATTCTGACATTTTTTATTCTATGAAAAGCCCAGGAGACACATCTTGGGCTTAAGATGAGTGACTGCTATCGGTGGGGCACCCAGTGATTGGCCTTGACTAGTACTCAGTCTGTAAAGTTTGGCACTGCCAATGGAAAAGCTAAAGATGGAGGCAGGAATGCAAGGCCAAGGACTCCAGAGAAAAACAACAGAATTGATTTGGGAGGTTTAGGAAAATAGCATTTTGGTACATTCACAGAAGGGACCAGACTGGTGTAAAAAGCCTGGAGAGGAGAGGAATGAGGGCAGACCAGATGAGTAGGAAGATCAACTTACTATATTCTTGCTGTCCTCGGCAAAGGTGGCTTTCACAAACATGGCGCCCAGGGCAAAGCCCAGGTTGTTGTCTGTGTCACTCACACAAAACTTCCATCGTGGAAGGCACGTCTGTGAATGCAGAACAAGGGAGGTAAATAACTCCAGTCTAGAGGAAACATGGTGATGTGGATAGAGTCAGAGAACCTGGTGGGTTCAAACCCCGCCTCTGCCATCTACTTACCTGGGTGACCTTGACTTTCCTCAACGGTAAAATGAGGAGATTGCACAAGATAACCTCTGGGATCCCTGAAAGTTCTCAATCCATGAACCTGCGCTTGGCTCATTTGACTTTAGCCATCCTCTCTTGACTTGATTCTAACATAGTGATGCCATTTTGGTTCTTTCTTCATTCTACTCCTCCTTCCCAATGTAAACTGTTCCAGACAGGACATGCATTTCTCATGTGTTTTTTGTTGTTGTTCAGTCATTTTCAAATTGTGTGACTCTTATGTGACCCCATTTGGAGAAGATACTGGAGTAGTTTACATTTCCTTCTCTAGCTCATTTTACAGATGAGGAAACTGAGGCAAATAGTATAAAGTGACTTGCCCAGGGTCACACAGCTAGGAAGTGTCTGAGACTGGATTTGAACTCAGGAAAATGAGTCTTTCTGACTTCAGGCCTGGCACTCTGTGCACTATGGTGCCCACCTAGCTGCCCCATGTGTTCTTTAGCCAACATTAAAAAAAAAACCACTAGGGGCAGATATCCACTATCTATGGAACAGTGGATACAGCACTGGCTCTGGATTCAGGAGGACCTGAGTTCAAATCTGACCTTAGATACATAACACTTACTAGCTGTGTGACCCTGGGCAAGTCACTTAACCCCACTGCCTAACCAAATTAAAAAAAAAACACTTTTGGACTCAATAAGGGGCATTTTAGACATCTGAAATAGGTGGTCACAGAATCCTTGAGAGGAAAAGGGCCTTGAATCAGTGTGATATGGTAGAAAGAGATGAAGATACTGGTTTCAATAAACTGTGTGACATTGGGCAAATTGCGTCCCTTCTCTGGGTCTCAGTTTATGAAATAAGCTGAATGAACTAGTTGGTCCCTAAGATTCCTACCTGCCTTAATAATAATAAACTTCAAGGTCATTTCATTCAGAATTACAGACAGCAAAACAGACAGGTGAGAACTGATATCACTGAAGGTGTTTCAGGAGGCAGCTAGATGGCGCCATAGTCCACAGAGCACAGGTCTTGGAGTCAGGAGGACCTGAATTCAAATTTGACTTCAGACACTTAGTAGCTGTGTGACCCTGGGTAAGTCACTTTAACCCTGATTGCATCAAAAAAGAAAGAAGGAAAAAAGTGTTTCTGAAGAGACTCCATAGCCTTCCTCAGCTGCCCGTGTGGATGGTCCCAAAATTTCAGTCAAGAGATTCTTTTAATCTAACTCACATCTCTCATCTTTACATTCTTAGTTCTGAAAAGCCATTTTTGGTATGACTTCCTGTTATACCTGAAGGCTGCTTCTACTCTCTGTTCCCTAGGTTGCATCGTCCCAGTCTCTTAAACCTTTCCTAACTCTTCTTTCCCCTTCATGGCTTTCTGACTATCCATCCTTACCTGAGTAGTTCAGAAGCAGACACACCATTCTATGCTGGGTCTGGTCCATGCCTAATACAATAGGTTCTTTAATTCTGTGTTCTGTGCATGCCTGGAGCTATAGCTGTAGAGCTATGTGGCAATGTCACGGTAAGTTCTGTATCCACTATGATGCCCAGATCTTCTTCTGACGAACTCACATGGGCAGATTTTTCTGAACTTGAATTTGTGCCACCTATTCTCTCTCTCTCTAGTGGAGGTCAATAATCAGCTTTTCTTGGGGTGGGGAAAGTTCAGAAAATTCTGCAGTTACTTCTGCCCACGTTGGGAAATAAACTTCTTAAACTATAAACTTCTTCTGCTAATCATTTGACAAGCATTTATTAAGCACCCACTATGTGCCAGGCACTGGGAATACAAAGGCAAAAGTGAGGTAGTATCTGCCCTCAAGGAGCTTATATTTTATTTTAGGGACAAAGGATAGCAGATAACTACATACAGAATACATGCAAAATAAATGCACAGTGATTATTTTTTGCTGGGAGGTGAAGCTCTAACAATTGGGGGAACCAGGAAAGTCTTCTTTAAGGAGGTGGCAGACAGGTGGTGCGCTGGGCCTGGAGTCAGGAAGATCTGAGTCCAGCCTCAGACACTTAATAGCAGCGTGACCCTGGGCAAGTCATTTAACTGCCTGCCTCAGTTTCCTCATCTGTAAAATGAGCTGGAGAAGGAAATGGCAAACCACTCCAGTATCTCTGCCAAGAAAACCCCTAATGGGGTTGTAAAGAGTCAGACCTGATTGGACAACACCACCACAAAGGGCCCCGCGGGGCGGTGATGAGGAGAGAGAGCATCCCAGGCATTCAGGACAGAAGCAGAAGAAGGAATGATGTACCCAGAGATGAGCCAGTGGGCCAGCCGGGGCGGGGAGAGGAGCATAGATGCTCATTTGTTAAGTGGGGATCTCAACACCTGCACTGCCTAAATCACAGGCATACGGAGAAGTACCAGTGAGATAATCTTTTCTTTTTCTTTTCTTTTCTTTTCTTTTCTTTTTTTTTTTTTTTAAGTGAGGCAATCAAGGTTAAGTGACTTGCCCAGGGACACACAGCTAGTGAGTGTCAAGTGTCTTGAGGCCCGATTTGAACTCAGGTCCTTCTGACTCCAAGGCCACAGCTCTATCCACTGCACCACCCAGCTGCCCTCCAGTGAGATAATCTATGAGAATGGAAAGCACTTTGTAAACTTTCCAAGAGGCTACAGAAATAAAAACAACAACGCTAGAAACAGCTCACATTAACACAGCGCTTTAAGGTTTGCAAAGCACTTTACAAATCTTATCCCATCTGAGCCTCAAAAATCCCCATTTTACTGATGAGGAAAATGAGGCAGCCATAGGGGAAGCGCCCTGCCCAGGGTCGCACAGTCAGTACGCACCAGAGGTAGGATCTGACCCAAGTCTTTCTTCTGGACTCCCAGGCCAGTTCTACCCACTGTGGCCTCTGTGAGCTCGTATTATTAACTGATCGTTCCTTATGTCTCCAAATGCTACGAAGCAGGACTGTTAGAAGCACTCCAGGAAACCTAGGAAGCCATTTTATTTATTTTGATTATCCCTTTCCTGTCGAGAGATGGCTAGACAATTAGATCAGAGGAAAAGGAGGAAAGTTTTCCGCCCTTGAGGGCCTGGCTCTGAGAGACCCCCTTCCGGCCATTCAGCGCCTGCTCTTATCCCAACCTGAGTGTCCCAGGAGACGCGCTCAGGATCAGTCTGGGGGAGGGAAACTCATACAGAGACCAGGGAAGCGAGCATGCCCTGAGTAGAAAAAAATAATAACAGAAAGTCACAGTAACCGAGAGGTGGTGGAAAGCTTACTAAAGGCTCTCCACAGAACAAAACCTCGACAGACCCCTACCTCCACGTGTTATATCCATTTTATAGATGAGAAGACTGAGTCTCTGAGAGGTTAAAGTGACTTGTCCATGATCACACAGAGCTAGTAAGTGTCTGAAGTTGAATTTAAACTGGGGTCTCCTGACTCCAAGTTCTTTGCTCTATTCAGCATACCACAGCAACTCTCCCAACAATTCAATCATTCCACAAGCACATATTAAGCACCTCTTATGTCCCAAGCACTATGGGAGGTGCTGGAGTTCCGAAGAATGACACAATCCCTAATGTCAAGGACACTATATTCTGACGGGGAGACAGAAAGTACGTGTGTCAGTGTATTCAGAAAACATATGAAGAGGATGGATACAAATATAGACAAAGTAATTAAGTATGATGTAGTGTGGGAGGGAGGGCTCTGGCAGATGGGAGGATCAGGAAAGGTTTCATGGAAAATGTAGCACTTGGAATTTAGGACTATCCCCCAAAAGGAACTAAAGTCCGCACACCTTTTGGCCCATCAAGGAAGCTCCTAGGCCTATTCCCCAAAGAGATGTAAGAAAGAAGAATATATGCACCTATATGCACAAAAAAATGATAGCAGCTCTTTCTGTAGCAGCCCGACCAGAAACAAAGAGGATTTCCACCTACTGAGGAACAGCTAAACAAAGTGTGGTACATGAATGGAAAAGAATATTCATGCATCATGACAAATGATCATATGGAGAGTTACAGAGAAAACTGCAAAGAGCTCTCTGAACTGATGCAGAGGGAAGTGAGCAGAACCATTAACGCAACGACAACAATAATACAGAGAAAAACAACTTTGAAAGACTTTAGAACTCTGAGTAATGCAAATATAAGCCCTGAATCCTAAGGACTGAAGATGAAACATGCTACCTACCTCCTGCCAGAGAAAGTGATGAACTTAAAATACAGAATGAGACATCTATTTTTGGACATGGCCAGTATGGAGTTTAGTTTTTCCCTAGATTATGCACATTTGTAATGAAGATTTTATTTTTACTTTTTTATTGTTCAACTGGGCAGGGGGATAGGAGGAGAGAGGGGGAGATAATAAGTGCTTGCAAAAATAATAGCTAGCATTTATAAATTGCTGTAAAGTTTACAAAGCACTTCACAAATATCTCATTTTTATCTTTACAACAACCTTGGGAAAGGAGGTGCTATTGTTATTCCCGTTTTACAGATGAGGAAACTGAGGCAGACAGCAATTTGAGTGTCTTGTCCAGAATCACACAACTAGTAATTGTCTGAAGCCAGATTTGAACTTAGTCTTTCTGACTCCAGGTCCAGTGCTCTATCCACTGGGCCACCTATATGACTAAGATTTTTGTCTTAGTTTTCTGGGCAGCCAGCATGTGTCAGAGACAGCACTTGACCTCAGACATCCTTGACTCCACGCCCTGCAGAAGGCTGACTCGTTTTGCACATGAAGAGTACTTAGCTTACTGGATTGGACTGAAAGAGGGAACTTGCTCACACAGTAACGAGCAGAGCTAAGATCCGACCCCAAATCTCCCAGCCGGAAGCCCTGGCTGCTTTCCTCCATCACAGCCTCAGCATGACTAGGCCTGCTGGACTTCCCTCCCACGTGAGAGAAGACTTCCCCGCCTCTCACCTTCTTGGTCCCGTACATCACTTCCATGAACTTCTCTTCGGCATCCTGGAAGCGCTGATCCAGGAAAGGACTCGTTTTTTTCACCAGGTTCCAGATCATATAGTTATTCAGGAGGCTGTTGGAAAGAGCAGAGAATGTGGGGAATCAGAAGGGCCCTCAGACGCTCCCTTCTCTTTGAAGCCATCATTCATTCTGAATGTCAGTGGTACATTAGAATGTAGTAACATACACATTCAATTGGGTATGGAAATCTATCTTACCCTACAGGAAAGTAGGGGGAAGGGGATAAGAGAGAGAGGTGTGATAGAAGAGAGGGCAGATTGGGGGAGGAGGTAATCAGAAGCAAACACTTTTGATGAGGGACAGGGTCAAAGGAGAGTAGAATAAATGGGGCGGGGATGGGATAAGATGGAGGGAAATATACCCTTTCACAATATGACTATTATGGAAGTGTTTTGCATGACTACACATGTATAACCTATATTGAATTACTTGCCTTCTCAATGAGGGTGGGTGGGGAGGGAGGAGAGGAGAGAATTTAGAACTCAAAGTTATAAAAACGAATGTTAAAAGTTGTTTTTACATGCAACTGGGAAATAAGATATACAGGCACTGGGGTATAGAACTCTATCTTACCCTACAGAAAAATAGAAGGGGAAGGGGATAAGAGAAGGGGGTGGTGATAGAAGAGAGGGCAGACTGGGGGAAGGGGTGATCAGAATGCATGCTGTCTTGGGGTGGGGGGAGGGATGAGATGGGGAGAAAATTTGGAACTCAAAAATCTTGTGGAAGTGAATGTTGAAAACTAAAAATAAATAAATTAATTTTAAAAATTGATAACTGCAATGTACTATCTTGGATTCTTGACTCAGTCCCACTTCTGAGCAGAGGGGCAGGAAGAAGGGGAGATAATGGTTACCCTACAATACCAAAGTGGATGGGTAGGGGTAGGGGATGGGAGAGGTTAGCAATGGGAAGAGAGTCTAAGGAAAGGGTATCAGGAGGAAATTCTGACCATCCAGCTACTCCGTGATCTTCCTTTAGTCACTCATCCTTGACCCACTCAGACTCTGGGCCCTCTGCCTGTAGCCATTATCACTTTGGCTAAAGATAACCTAAGCCTTCATTTCAAGAGCCATTCATGTATGGCATATGGCAGAGAATCACAGAACGTGAAAGATAGAAAGAGGAAATGTGTGGAAGTTAGAGAGAGGCAGATCTTAGCCTGATGTCAGGAAAGACCTTCTAACAATTAGAGAACAATCCACAAGTGAAATGGGATTCCCAGGGAGTTGGTACGCTCCCTTTCAAATAAGGCCAAATAACCATTTCATGGGGAATTGTGGAGGATTTTCTGTTTGCATACTGAGTAGGTGGGCTCTGAAGTCCTTTCAGGAGCTTGTGGAAGAAGTACTGGATGCAATCATAAGACCAGAGATGTGTTTATTGCTCTTTTATTCCCTGGCTCTGTGACGCTGGACGAGTCTAATCTCCAGACTTCTGTTTCATCGTCTGTACAATGAAGGGGTTGGCTCTTCTGGCCCTGATCCTCTGAGATTCAGCGACCTTAGAGATTCTCTAATCTAACCCTTCATTGTACAGAGGAAGAAATCGCTCACAAAGAGAGAGAAGGAATTTGTCCAACATCACCCTGCTGCTAGAGGTAGGACTTGAACCCAATTCTCGCATCTAGGTAAGACCTTTTTCTCTTACACCTTGCTACACAACCATTCAGTCATGGTGCTATGTGATTTACAGAATGCTATATTCATTCCTACCTAGCCAGGACTGAGATGAACAAGACAGCCAGACACAAGTCACCCGCGGCCTGGGTGAGCCCCTTCCTGGCATCCCCATATGGGAGGATCACCTTACCATTTGTCTGTGTTGTTGATAAGGTTGGAGACTTGCTCCAAGTACTCCTTGGCATAGACCACCACAGGCTCTGATTCATTGATCTCCACAGGGTAGAACACATTCGTAAGGAAGGGCATCCAGTTGATGGCAGGTGCCAAAATCTGGAAGAGAAGCCAAGGGTGTGAAGCTGGCTGGCCAGTCACCTGTCACGCCCCACACGGGTGCAAACTCTCACTGAATGAATGCTTACAGGAAATTTTCCTGACCTGTAATCTTGACTGCCGGCGTCCTAAGCGCTGCCAATGAGATTTCTGGTTGGCCGACCTTTCTGTAGTCTCAGAACACCTGGCACCGTCAGAACTTGGCAGACTCACCTACCTGGAGCTGAAGCCAAGGGGCAGAGGAGACAGGAGGCAGGCAGGACCAGGGATAATGTGCCCAGCCCCACAACCTGATGGCTCTGCTAAAAAACGGCTTCCTTCCAGGGCCCCTTGTGATGGATAATGTTCATGGTAAGTTCTCATCATTATTAGTTCCCTGTCCTGCCCCAGAGTGAAAACTGAACGACGGTGTCAGAGTATTCCAGACTCCAAGTCTAGGGCTACATATGGAAATCTTCCATCCTACTGCCTGAAACCTAGGACCTATGCCTTAACCCCCAGGATCTCTCTAGTCCATAGGTTCTTGGCCTTTTTGGGGACACTTTTGTCTAATGAAGCCCACAGACCCCTTCTCAGAATCAGATTTTTAAATGTATACAAGAAAATACATAGGGTTACAAGGGAAAATGAAACATAGTTATCAACAATTTTTTTTTAAAGTTCATGGACCCCAGGTTAAGAGCCCCTCCTTAACATCTCTTTTCACCCTGACATTCTATGTTCTCAGGGCTCTCCCAGATCTGCCATTCTATTTTCTTAGGTCACATCCAGCTTTGATATTCTATGTTCTAAAGGCCTTCCCAGCCTTAAAATTCTGTGCCTTCAGGGCTTTCCCAGGTCTGACATTCTGTGCTCTAAAGTCCCTTCCAGCTCTGACATTCTCTGTTCTAAGAGCCCTCTCAGCTCTGACATTCTCTGTTCTAAGGACCTTCCCAGCTCTAACTTTCCCTTTTCTAAGGTTCCTCTTAGATCTGACATTATCTATTTTTTAAAAAATTTTATTTAGTATTTTATTTTCCCCCAGTTACATGTAAAAACAATTTTTAACATTTGTTTTTAAAACTTTTGAGTTCCAAATTCTCTCCCTTCCTCCCTCTCCACCCCACCCCGCATTGAGAAGGCAAGCAACTTGATATAGGTTATACATGTGTAGTCATGCAAAACATTTCCGTAACAGTCATGTTGACATTACCTATTCTAAGGTCCCCTCCACCTTTGACATCCTCTGTTCTGCGGTTCCTCCCAGCTCTGACATTCAGTGTTCTAAGGGCCCTCCCAGCTCTGACATTCTGTGTTCTAAGGGCCCTCCCAGCTCTGACATTCTGTGTTCTAAGGGCTCTCCTAGCTCTGACATTCTGTGTTCTAAGGCCCCTCCCAGCTCTGACATCCTGTATCCTAAGGTTCCTCCTAGTTCTGACATTCTGTGTTCTAAGGCCTCTCCCAGCTCCATCATTCTGTGTTCTAAGACCCCTCCTAGTTCTGACATTCTCCGCTCCAAAGATTCCTAACCTTAACCTTTCTGCGTCACAGACCCCTTTGGCAGACTGGTGAAGCCTCATGCACCCCTTCTCAGAAAAATGTTTTTAAATACATAAAATAAAATCCATTGGATTACAAAAGAAGCCAATTCTATTGACAGTTATCTAAGTATTAGAAACAAAAACAAAACCCAAACTGATGAACCCTGGTTTCCGAATCCCTGCTCTGGTCCTTGGTTCTGGAGATGGGAGGGCAGTCTGGCACGGTGATCGTGGAACTGTAGTCCTTAGGAGTAGTGGCAGCAGAAGGAATACTGACTGAGCCTGTGCTCAGAGGTCATGAGCTCAAATCTCTACTCTGCTACTTATGACCTACAGGATCATAGTCAAGGCATCTCACCTTTCTTTGTCTCAGTTTCTTAATCTGTGGATTTTCAGGTAGCAGCTGGGACTAGAGAGCTCTTCTGTTTCTAATTCTATGACTCTATGATAAAGGACCTTAGAAACCACTTAACCCAACCCTCTTATTTTGCAGAAGGGGAAATTAAGAACCTGAGTGGTAAAAGTAAGTTGCTTAAAGTCAAGCGAGGGCAGCTAAGGAAACCCCATTGTGCTTAGAACCCTGGGCCTGGAGTCAGGAAGACTCATCTTCCTGAGTTCAACCTGACCTTGGACGCTTACTAGCTGTGTGACCCTGGGCAAGTCACTTCACCCTGTTTGCCTCAGTTTCCTCATCTGTAAAATGAGCTGGAGAAGAAAATGACAAACCACTCCAGTATCTTTGCCAAGAAAATTCCAAATGGGGTCGTGAAGAATTGGACACAACTAAACAACAATAAGGTTAAGTGCCAGAGGCAGGATCAGAACCCGGGTCTTTACTGCAAATGCAGAGCTCTTTCCACCATACCAGTGACGAGCTAATATCCCCTAGGAGCAAAACCTGAGGGGTGAGCTTTGACTCTTGTGTCTTCAGGCTGCCAAGATCCATCCATCCCAACTCAGCGACACGTCGGGCACCTGACGTCTCCTCCATTTACCCTATGCCCCACTTCATGCTCTATTCACCACATTCCACTTCCTCATCACTGTCCACCTGACCTTTGGCACCAGACTCTTCCCACCCCCTTTAGGATCACAGAATCCCCGACACCCCTGAAGAAACATGCCCTCTGTGGAACTTCCAAAAAGAGGCCTTTCAGACTCACCAGACCTCAAGGGAGGGCGCACCTGCTGCCAGCCGCTTCTACTCTGGGCCATCTCCTACCAGCAGGAAGCTTTTGCTGACATCGAGCACAAACCTATCTCCCGGTAGCCTCTACTTTATCGGTTCTCGTTCTGCTCTTGGGGGCCAAGCAGGCCAAGTCAAATCTCGATTGCCCTTGAGATCCTTGAAGACCACTCTCACGTCCCTTTCAGCCTTCTTTTCTCCAGGCTAAACATCCCCAGTTCATTCAGTCAATCCTCTTGTGCTTGGCACATAGTAGGTGCTCAGTAACTGCTTGCCAACCATGGGATTTGAACCCAAGACTCATAACTCTAAATGCTCCAATCTTGCCACTATATCACTCTGCCTCTCCTCCTCCTGAAACTCCAGAGCAGGAAAAGAAAGCACACTGTCCTGACTCTGTCCACATCTCCAGTCACCTTGACCTCTCCCACTTGTTCCCTACAACACAGGCGTGGGGCTCAGTCCGTACCCCTGAGAGCTCCCACAAAGGCCTCATCACAGATCCTCACAGCCCCTTTCACTTCCAGGTCATCGGCACCATCTCCAACTCCAAGGAGTTCTCAGAACACTGCCAGTGCGCCCCTGGCTCCCCTATGAACCCCCATCGAAAGTGTGAAGTCTGGTAGAGGTGAATCCAGGTGGAAGGAGACAGATGGGGAGTTATGGAAAGGACAGGCAGTACAGAAGGAGGGAATGGAACAGCTCGCCCCATCTGTCCAGTATCGAGGGCATTGCCCTGGCCCTCTTCCTTGCCCAAGCACCCTCCCTCCCCGCCTTCGAAGAGCTCTCCATGGGAAGGGGTCCCAATCCATCAAGGTCATCAAGTCCAACTCTCCCCTTTTACAGATGAGAAAACTGAGGCACAGTTTCTGTAGTAAAAAAGAATGAAGATTTCTTTGGAGTTAAGATGGAGAAACATAGGTCAGAACCATGTCATCTAGACTCTGGCTCTCCTTCTCCTCCTCCTCTTCCCATAGGGGTGCAAACTCTGTTCCTAAGAGAGCCTGTGCCTGGCACCAGGCCACCATGACACATCCTTGCTATTACCAATACAAGACCACATCACTACACCACAATGACACTTCTTGGCCATTTCCAGACCATGATGCCACCACTCTGGGAGGCCCTTGGCACCCGTCACTTTCCAAATCTACTTCTCCTTCATGCACTGTCCTCCTCTAGTAGAATGTAGACTCCTTCAGGGCAGAGAATGTCTTGTTTGCTTGCGTTTTTATTTTTAGGACTAAACATAATGTCTGGCACATAGTAGGCACCTAATAAACGCTCATTCATTCATTCATTCATTCATAGTAAAGCACAATTTTCTCAACACAGTAGGTACTTAGTATTTGTTAAATGAAATTAATGACTTTTTGTCTCTCCAATGCCTAGAATACTGCCTGGCACATACAAGGCCCTTAAAACATGTTGTTGATTGATTGAAAGAGCCTTAAGACACAGAATGTTAGAAGAAACAGATGGGACTAGAGGAGGCATGTGGTCCAACTCTATCATTTTAGTGGAAGAAAAGGACTCATAGAAGGAAACAGATCCATCAGAATGTAGCTCCTTGAGGACAGGGTCTGTCTTTCTTTTTGCCTATATTTGTATCCCCAGCATTTAGCTTTAATAAGCATTTTTAAATTAAATTTTGAAACTTAAAATTTAAATTTTAAATAACTTTTAAATTTAAAATTATTAAATTAAATTAATAAATGAACTTTCCTTCTTTCCTTCCCTCCTTCCATCCCTCCCTTCCTCTCTCCCTCCTGCCCTTCCTTTTTCCTTCCCTCCCTCCTTCCTTCCTGTCTTTTTTCCTGACTAGCATGAGGTAGTTATCAGCAGAACCAGGGCTAGAATCTGGGTCTCCTTCCTTCTTATTCATGATGAGAAGAAGAAAGGGATTAAGACTTGAGGAGCATTCAGAAGATGAGCTTCTTCCAAGGAGAGTTACTGTCTAGCTGCCTGTCTTGCTCTTCTCTCCTTAGCCATAGGCTGCTGTTCAGAAGGGCAAAGACCTAATTCCTGGGCACCATCAGACCCGTCTGTAAGAGCGACACCCAAGTGACCACTGCTGTGTATTCCCATGACAGCAACACTCAGATGCTTTGCTCATCGGATCTCTTGAAACAAGGACCAGTAGGTTATGGCAGCCAGACCGTCTGAGCTGCTAACTGCTTTGGGAAAATGGGTAAGTCTACAGAAAGCCGCTGTTTACTCACCTCACGTTGCCCTCCCACACAGGGTTGGGAATGTTAAGCAAACTAAAGTGATGAGAACTCTCTGGTCTAAGG